TGTCACCCTCCGCCAGGCCGGCTCCGGCACAGCGGACCCGGTGCCACCCACGGCCCAGCGGGCCGGGCCCCTCCGGCTCAGCCCCTCCGAGGGGTTTCTCTCGTCCCCCCGCCTTTGTTTTCTATTTAGTGCTTTTGTTCCCCCCTCTTTGGTGCTTTGTTCCAGCTCGTCCTTTGTTCCGACGCCTTTGGTTTCTCTTCCCTTTGATGCTTTGTCGCTCCCTTCATCTTGGTGCTTTTCTTTCCCCGTTTTTGTTTTTTTTTTTTGGTTTTTTGGGTTTTTTTTTAAGCCGGCTCTTGGGTTTTCTGGGGGTTTTTTTATTGATTTTTATTCCCCCCCTCTCCTGCCCGCTCCACTCTTGGCATTTTTCTCCTTTCTCCTGTCCACTCCTCGGGTCACACGGACGCGGCCCGGATTGTCTCCAAATCCCCATTTGTCTTGTTTTGGTGCCTGCATTTTGGTGCCTTTATGTCTTTTTTTTCTTAAGAGACTCTCAGCGATTTCTTCTCCCGGCAGCCGAGAGAAGCGGGGAGAGGGGAGAGGGGGGGGGGTTTCGGGGCTTAATTAATTAGCGAGTGTAATCTTTAGCTGCGGGATGTGCGGAGCATCATTACGGCTGTCATTAGGGTGTTCAGGGTTAGCGAGGGTTTAAATACCAGCTAATTGCAGCCAAGAGCTCCCGACGCCGCAAAAAAAATTCCAGCGGGAAGAGCCGGGCTTTTTGGGGAGAACTGGGAGAAATTCCCGACGGGGAGGATAAGAAACAGCAGCCCCCAGAGGGTAAAAGGTTGCTGGGAGCAAGGAGTGCGCTCATGCCTCCCCAAAAAAACCCCCTAAAATCGTCACTTCAGGGGTGTTCAATGTCGCTTTCGGGGACCCCGTGGCACGGCAGAACCCAGGGCAGCGCCAGCCCTGGGGCAAAGCCGATGCCAGGGGAGGATGGAGACGCTTCATCTCCATGGGGGTGGCGATTTTTCCCTGTTCCCATCACCCAGCAGAGCCAAG